CCAAACCCAGAACCAGGCACATAAAGACTTGAAATAATGTCTGTCAAACAACTGTCTCAGTCCTTGGATGGATTTTCATCATTGATCCTATTGAGATGTCAAACACTAATATTGTCTGAATCAAACCAAGAAGAATGAAAGAGACGCTTCATAGTGAAGTAAATTCACTGAGTGGTCTCCTGTATGTAGCTGGGGGAAAGGCTTGCAAGGTTATAGCTATACCTGAATAAGGTGATATTAGATTACCTTAAAAAGGTTTAACAGAACCTTTGAACCTCAAATACAATATATCTCTGGGGGGAACCTTTCTACTTGTACACTACAAAGACAGTGTTGTTTTTCCAGCACAAACACATTTGTGCTGAGGTATTGCTTTGCTCAACTATTGCTAAGACACGATGAGTGACCTCAGAAATGGGCATGGGGAGAGCTGAGCAGGAGCGACACACAGCACCCACACACCTGCCTAACGGGTGAGTTTATCATCCCTCCAAACAGCTGACTGGGACTAGAAGTAGAGATAAGGAAAAACTGTAAGAGCTTGCTTGAAACACACACACACACACACACACACACACACACACACACACCCCAAACAAACCTGTGGCTTTCTGTTACCTGGTGTGCTGTGTGGCCTAATGACATTTAAGCAATCTGAAGGGAACCAGCTCTCGCTAGAAAGCACGGCTAAAAGTAACAGGATGCACAAAAGAAAAGCCATGTTTGCAACCAACATTGAATAGCAATGAAAACCTTAAAACAGAAAAGGGAACTAAGTGAATTGTAACAGTTTACAAAGGTCCACAAATATAATCACTCAACAGCACGTGACTTGCAAACTCTAGGGGCGACTATGTGTGTTTTTTTCTACAGAATAAATTATTGCAGGGGGTCATGTGATTCTTCGCAGGCAGAAAGATGCACTTTCCCAAGGAAAGTTCATCATCAAATGTACTATTGAAGACTGGATCATCTTCAGACTATTTTTAATCCCTATCATTTTGCTGCCAAAACTGGCCATGAGCAGCTGATACTTGGCCGCTAGGAAAATGATGCTTTTTCACGTATTTCGTACACAAGCATGAGAATGGTGCTGCTTTCCAGTTAATCAAGTATTTTTGGTGGGTCTGGACTGCCAACGGAAGACAGAAACTCTTGCTGACCAACTAGTAAAAAGGAAGCTAACCTCTACTGGATGTGGAGAAGTAAGTTCCTGTCTTCCTAAACCACAAAGACCAAAAGATAAAAAAAGAAAAGAAAAGAAAAGAAAAGAAAGAAAGAAAGAAAGAAAGAAAGAAAGAAAGAAAGAAAGAAGGAAGGAAGGAAGGAAGGAAGGAAGGAAGGAAAGAAAGAAAGAAAGAAAGAAAGAGAAAGAAAGAAAAGTCATGACACTGTCTCATCAACAGAATGAAGCTAATCTCTTATTTAAGGCTTCCCTTTCTTTTAATAGCCCACACCTCACTCTCTTCTGAGACATGAAGCTGAATGTTGTCCCATTTCTCAGCTTGGGGGGAACTACCAATTCCACTTACCATCAGCTTCCCCGTATCTCAACCCTTTGCCTACAAGAGCCCCTTTGCCTTGAAGCACTCTCACTCAAGGCATCTCTACAGAACTCAAACCTTGTTATGAGGGGGTAAAATAATAACTAATGGAGCTATCTAAAGAGCTAAGTCTCTTGCCTTTAATTGGAATAGAAAAGCTGTGTTACTTTATTGGAATCAATAATGCCAATACAAACTGTATTAGCTACCTTGAAAAACATTCTTGGGAAGATTGAGTTTACAATAATTTATCTCCTCTCTTTCATTCCAATTTATTTCATCCAAGGATCATATCATACTAGTGAACAACTGGGAAATATTCAGTATTCTAGGTAATATTAGAAACCTCTGAGACCACTGGAATCAATGGGCCACTGGAGGACCCACCACAGACTGTCATTCTTCTTAAAAGATGGCCCCAGGGACCAAGAGTGGGTAATAGTCAACATCTCCAACATACCTAAAAACCTGTATCTCCTAAGAACCACAAATTCGGACTCATTAGCTATGGGGTGGAACCTGAGATTGTGCATCTCTAAGAAGCTCCCATTTGATGCCCCTGCTGCTGGTCTGTGAACCACACTTGGAGTAGCAGGGTCTCAGACATTTCCTAGCACTAAGGCTGTCTTGTACTCCCTCTGTCCTGCTTCTTTCACAATGCCTTATTCAAACTTAGAAATAAAGCCACGCTCCATTCTAACCCAGTTTCTTCTTTAGTCTTTATTTAATTCGTAGGCTTCTGGGGCTATCCCTCAGACACCTGTCATTCTAAGACGCCGCTTTCTCCAAGCTATGGATTATGGAATACAACCAGTTTTCCTTAATCTCATAAGTCTGATTTCCATCAACATCAGCAAAGAAAAAAGTGACTTCAAATCTAAGCGCCCATTATTATGTATGCAGGAGATGAGCTGATCCACTGAGTCCTAGAAGCCACACAAGTCATTAAGTGACTAGCGCTCTCCTAAAACTTGACCACTGGCATTGAGTACTTTATGCTATAAGATGCAACACAGTATTAGAGATGCAACCCTGACTGGAGCAAATTTGGGGGGAAAATCTGTCCACATGCCGTACTAGACATTTAGATTAGTCGTGCCCATGTGAAAGAATAGGTAAATTGTTTATAACTCTCAACTGCTACCACTTTTATTCCAAAGTATCCATTTGTGATTACATTTCCTGATACATACTTTTTTGGCCAAATTCCTTTGTGTTCCTATATAGTCATCCATCTATATGTTGTTCTGCAAACTACACATTTTACCATCAGCTATTTGTGCCCCTATATGATTTATTTTTGCAGTGAGAGGTTTTGTCAAAAAATTCTTTATCGTGTTCTACGATGTGTCATTGTGATTTGGCATCATAAAATATAGCCTCCACATTTATCAATCTCAGATACCTGTTGACCACAAAGATAGGCTCTACTATTCTGAAGATACTATTTTGAAAGGAGTTAAAAGTGAGGCTTCATCTAAAAAGAAAACTCTTTTGCGTGAGACGTTAACATCGTACAATGCAACAAAACAAAGACCAAGGTTATATTTTAATGTCTATCCATAAACATATGTCTGTTTCTTATCTGTTTATTAAATTTCTTAACAGATGACAGTTACCACCTTGGATTTCTTTCAACGAGAAAGAAAATCTTGAAATATTTTTTTCATAAAAATATGAAACAGAACTGTCAAATGAGTTTTACTTTGGTCTTGGAGCCTGGAAACCTCTACCTGTTTGGTTATTGTGGTTAAAAATAAAACACCTACTTAACCAAACATGTAACAAAAATATTCTTTTACCCTTTAGTGAATTCTTCCAGAAATACTAAAGATCTGACAACATGGGATCTTGAAAAAAAAAAAAAAAAAAACAATTCACGAAGAGCATTTTAAGTGTTAGAAATTTAAATGGGGATATTATACTTTTAAACACTGAACAGTGGTATCAAAATTTTGTTAACTTTGATCAAGTAGGATCAGATTTTCATGTCAGCCATCTACTCTCTTGGCTTTTTCTCTTTTTTCTTGGCCTTAATATTAGCACACTTGTAAACTGTAGTAAAATATGTAATGTGCTTCTTGAAACTGAATCCACTTGTAGTCATTTCTAGGCTTTGTGCTCCTGGTAGGCCCTATAAAATAAAAGCATCATTCATTCTCCCTAGAGACTATACAAGGAAGCACCGTGTTGCACCCTTTTTCAAAAATAATTCTTCAAATTAAAACAAAAAGCCTGAAAAACTTTCAGACAAGATTTCTCTTTTACTTTTCCATAAATTAATAACTTTATATATGAGATGCAGATCTCAAATACAACTCTTCAGTCTTAGGACCTGGACCCCCTCCCCCAAAGAATCACACACAAAAAAATAACTTTATGGTAACGTGATGGAAGCTCTACCGAGCACCAGAAAAAAGGAAAAAAAAAAAAAAAAAAACACCTCGCAGATGTTCTTCGAAGCTACAGGCATCGATCACTACAACTAAAGTCAGAGCATGAGAGAATCCACAGATGAGAATCAATGCTTCTATGCTTTATATAGACACTGTAGACACAAGTTTTTTCAGCAGAGGAGACCATCAAAGGATGTGGACTCTAGGTGGCGAAAAGCAAAAGATACTATAATTATCATAAACTTCCAAATCATACACCAGGTACAGAAACAGAACACAAAGTCTGCAGCCAGGGCAAATTATGTCACTGATGAGATGAAGTATCCACAGCCCCAAAGTTCTTCAAGACACTCAGCCACGCCCACAGGGAACTCATGTGCCACACCCCACAGGATGGAGTTCTTGGACTTTCGGAAAGTCAACTTACCTCTTTGCAAACACTTCTATGTTTTCCAGGGAAAGGGGCTACACTGCATTTCCTCTTTGGGTAGATCCCACCCAGTGAGTCAGAAAAGGCATGCCTTTGGTCCTCTGGTGAAGTCTTCTTCTAACTGGGTAGTTCACAAATTGCAGTATAAATAAGAACCCCACGGGGGGGGGGGGGGACTTAGTTTAAGAAGCCGATTGCCAACCTAACCTGACCTGGAGTCTAGGTAGTCCAGGGGGCAGCCGTGGGGGTGAGGGTGGGGGTGGGATTGGGGGTTGGAGGAGGATCCCTGGACCTCCAGTTTGACAAAGCCCGAAGGGATACCATTTATGCCCAGATCCCACTGGATAGCAAATGCTGGATCCTTAACCCTCCACGGCTGGCAAGTAAGGAAAACACTTTGGGCCAGAAGAAAATCATCCACAACAGAGCCAGCCGGGAGCGCTGCGGCGGGGGCAAGAGGTAGGGCAGCGGGGGGGGGGGGGGGGGGGGGAGGGGGGGGCAACCCGATTGCTCTTCCCGGGCTCACCAGCCCCATGGGGCCGAGGGCCCACCCACACTCCAACCAGGGGTTCTGAGCCTCAGCTCTGAAACATCCAGCCCAGACTCCCATTCAAGCAGACGTGCACCTACCCAGCCTCCGTTGTCCTGGATCCAGGTGTGCAGATGCCGGTTCAGGTACTCAGTCATCCACAGGGCGATGTTGTCCACCAGGGGCGACATCTCCCGGTTGACGCTCTCCACACACATGACCCCACCGAACTCAAAGAAGGCCACAATCCTCCCCCAGTTCACCCCGTCCCTGAAGAGCTCCTCCACCACCGTGGCAAAGCGTCCCCTCGCGGTGAAGGGCGTCAGGTGCAGCTGGCTGGACATCTCGGCGAAGTCGCGGCGGTAGCGGCGGGAGAAGTCATCGCCGGCCTGGCGCAGGGTCAGGTGGACCACAGGTGGCACGGGGCTGGGCGCGGGGCCCGCGGCGGCGGCGGCGGCGGCGGGGGCGGCGGCGGCGGCGGGGGCGGCGGCGGCGGGCGGGGGCGGCGAGGTCCTGGCGGGCGCGGGGGCGCGGCCGGGCTGCGAGGCGGAGATGCCCGGCGCGGGGGCGGCCCCCGGGGGCGCGGCGCCCGCCTCTCCCGCGTCCCACTCGTAGCCCCTCTGCGACAGCTTGTAGTGGATGTACTTCATCACTATCTCCCGGTTATCGTACCCTGTTCGCCCAGCGTGCGCCATCCTTCCCCGGGGGACGAGCAGCCGGGTACCAGCAGCACCTCTCGCCCCTGCTCCCGCCCCGCGGCCCCGAAAGCAGGAATAGTTATAATCCAGCTATGTTATTGGATGTGCTTTGCATTCTTGGATGAGGGGGTGTCTTCGGTCACGCGGAACACTGGATTCTGGTGTTTCCCTCTTGGCATGAGATGCAGGAAATTTTTACTTAGACTCCTTTCGGATCTTTATTTCATGAGGCACATGATCATTAATTATTGTTAGTATCAGTCTACTTCCTCTGCGGTGCTGAAAGGTCAAAAAGAAAACTATGTCAGAATCAGGTGCATTTTCCTTCATACACCGGGTGAGGGAAAAAAGCGGGGCACAGACACACACTACAGGTCACGCGGCTTAAAAGAAATGTATCAAACTGCCTGGAAATCAGACTTAACTCGAATGCACCTCAAGTGAAAAATCTCAAATGTTTCCACGGAAAGTTACACTAGACCGATTTCCTGTGCAGAGAACTTACTTGTATTTTTTAAGGACAGCATGATCCTCTCTGTCAAGTTTCCCTTTTTTTTTTGTGAAAACAAAACAAATGCATAAGGCAAGAGATTCCACCAATCTTCAGGACTCTCCGGTTGTGGCTGCTCTGAAACTTCCGAATGAAACCAGGAGTTGGGGGGGGAGGGAAGGGGGAAGGAAAAAAAAAAAATCGGGAGAATTTCCAGGTTGATTCCCGGACTTCTGCTTCACAGAAATGTCAATCCGCAGGAATCCCGACCGGAGAGCTCAAGAGCACGAGGGGGAAAGGGCAGCGGCGGCGGCGGCGGCGGCGGCGGCAGATGAATTACAGTTTTCAGGCCGGTGTGTGCACGAGTCCTGCGCCTTCCCCGCTCCTGGCAATTCACACACGCACACACGCGCGCGGGCACCGACATGGAGCTCTGTCCGCGGGGGGCGGACGGGGGCCGGGCGCCGGGCCGAGCGGGCGCGGGGGCAGCAGTCCTCTTCCGAGCTAACTCCGAGCGGCGGCCGCCTCCTCCGAAAAGCCGCCCGAGATGAGGGCGGGACGCGCCGGGGCCGCCGGTGCCGAGCGCGAGCAGCCCGCGCCGTGTGTGGTGCGGCGAGGGGTGGGAGGAGGCGCTGGCGGGGGAGGGCTTTATTTTTTCCCTCTTTTCCTAAAAAGGATGACTGCTACGAAGTTCTCCCCCCTGGACCCCCTCTTCCGCTGCACCCCACCGGCGCACCCCGCCTCCGGGCTGCGCACCCTTTCTCCTCCTCCTGCTCGTGCGCGGCGGCGCCGGCGGCGGCCGCCCCCTCCGCGCTCCCGCCGCGCTCCCGCTCCGGGCGATGACGGCCGCGCCGGCGGGGAGGGCCCGGCGCCCGGCACCTTCGCTGGCGGCGGCGGCGGCCGGCGGCGGCGGCGGCGGGCGGCTCGGCGGGGAAGCCGAGAGCGGCGGGCGGGAGCGCGGCGGGCGGGAGCGCGGCGGGCGGGAGCGCGGCGGGGGCGGGGGCGGGGGCGGGGAGGAAGGGGGCGGGCGCGGGGCGGGCGGGGGGGGCCTGGCCTCTTACTTCATTCTCTCTAAGCGACTGGTTTCCTGTACGTACGTCACACGGTTCATTCAAAAAAAGAAGAAAGAAAGAGCCCTCCTCGGAGCCGCCCCGCCGCCCCGCCGCCCCGCCGCCCCGCCGCCGCCGCGCTCGCCTTCCCGGGTTAAAGGAGCCGCGGCCGCGCCGGGAGCGGCGCGCGCCCCGCCGAGGACACATGGCGCGCAGGCCCGCGGCCGGGGAGGGCGCGCCCGGGACGCCCCCGCCCGCCCGCCAGCTCGCCCGCCAGCTCGCCCGCCAGCTCGCCCGCCAGCTCCGCCCGCCCCGCCCGCTCGCCGGGCCCGGCCGGTGGGTGGCGCGGGCGGCGCAGGCCTCCCGCGCGGCCGCGGCCGCGGCGCGGTGGGTGTGCGAGGGGCCTCCTCGGGCCTGCGAGGGGCGGGCGCGCCCGGGGCACTGCTGCGCGCGGGAGCCGCGCCGACCCCTCGGGCCGCGTGTGCGTGTGCGCGTGCGCGTGCGTGCGCCTGTGCACACGTCGCGGTGCCGGCTCTCGGCAGCTGCCGGGCGGAGACCCAGGCCCACGCCGACCCCGAGCAGGGGCGCCCGGGCGATGCCCTCCGGCGGGGCGGGGACAGGCCAGGGAAGCCCCCGGCGAGCGCCGGGTTCACTCGCAAGTCGCGTCCCAGGTGTGCGGGCGCAACGCCCGCCCTGGAGACGCCATCCGTGCCCAGGGCCGGACGCAGCTCTCCGCGGGCCAGCAGGGGCGAGTCGGGCTTGTCAAGGGCTCGCAAATGCCTAAGTAAAGGTTTGTCCTCTGCCCCCGAGGGTACTGGCGCTAGGCTGCGGCTGGACGCTGCGGGGGTCTGCACGGGCGCCTTCAGGCCCACGGTCCCAACACCGGCGTGGGTGGGCTTCCCAAGGCCCGCGGGGTCCCCTAGCAGCCGGTGCTGGGGGCTGCACCTTCTCGTCTACACACACACACACACAGGCCATGCACACATCTATTGTACACACAAGCACACACATTCTTTAATTCATCAGCTCGGATAGCCCCTAGGAGAAGTGCACAAGAGGGCAAACAAGTTGTGCGTGTTTAACTATTTTTCACCTCAGAAAGTCTTTGACAAACAGAGTGCCAAGAAAAAAAATGTTTGCTAAAAGCACGACAGCTTACCTAATAGGGCTCAAATACAAATATGTACGGATGCCGGATTATAGTGCTCATAGAGACGTGACAAATGAGCACTGCAATGTGTACAAACATGTTCTGACACCATCTTTATTTTGTCTCATTCCTACTCTGAAATCAAAGCATGCATTCTTGAGCAAAATAAGCGCAAATTATTTTCATTTCATTTATCATACCCAATCAACCAACGTGCCAACCTCTTGCATGTGGGAATGGGTGCCTCGTACAAACTTCTCAGCCCAGCAAGAAGGAATGAAGGAAGATGCTCCTTTATGCTTTCTAATGGCTGTGATGTGGCCCTAGGGGGGTGGGGGTGGGGGATGGGGGACCAGGTTCTGGCCTGGAGATGGACACTGGGCATCCCCTAATCTGGGAGGTATGTTCTCACAGAAAAGAGTAGAAACCTGTACTTAAAAAAAAAGAGAGAAAGAAAAGAAAGAAACCTGTACTATTGCCGCAACATGATAGTTTAAGGATCTCAGAAACTTGTCTTAAACCCCCCAAAATGACTTAAGAGGAATTGAAAGCCTTAGTGCTTCTGAGACCCAGCATGTGAGGAAATGAAAGGACAGAGCTGGAAAGAAATTGTACTTCTGCAAAGACGGCCCCTAGAAGGAAATGGATCCCCCCCATTCCCAGAGCAAGAAAAGCCTCCTGATTTTTGCCCGCTCCTTGGCTCCCAAAGAGGCTCACTTAACAGATTTTTTCACACTTATTCTTTCGGTGGCATCTTGGCCATCAGCAGCCATTCTCAGGATAGGTCTGCCTTACGGTCCTTGACTAAGGATATATTTCCCAGGAATGTTCTGAATTTTCTTATACCCTAAAGAGTGAAGCCATTCCTCTGTTCAGACTTGGTTATTAGATTCCACCTTAAAGTATCGGGGGGGGGGGGGGGCGGATTATAGGCAGTGCGTGGATTAACTGTCCCTGGGTACTGGGGAGGGAGAGGAGGGAGCCCCGGCCAGAGTCAGGAGTCCTGGGTTTGAATCCTAGATCTGTGCCTCAGGCCTTCCAACAACCTTCCACCTGTATGCACCGTGGGCTTTTCAGAGCCAATGGACTACCCTTCTGCCAGCTTTGTCTGGCTGGATCCTAGGAGCAGGGTGGCACCAGGAAGAGAAAAGAATAAGATGCAGGGGAGGGAGGTTGTATCAAGTGCCTGAAAGGCCTGTGTTTTCCTTCTTTATTCTCCAGTCTGCCAAACAAAAAGCTTTTTATTGCCAGTTTTCGCCACCTACTGGTTGATGTTTAACAGTGTCATTCAGAAAGTTCTCTTCATCCATCACCAGCATAAACACATCCAAAGTTCATGAAATGCAAAAAGGACATTATTCTAATCTGGACATATGGGCATGTAGTAAATCTTACTATTAAACTTTTTATCTAAAATGAGGATAGAGGGGCGCCTGCGTGGCTCAGTGGGTGGAGCATCTGCCTCCAGCTCATACCTTGATCCCAGGATCCTAGGATGGCGCCCCACATCGGGGATTCCCTGCTTGGTGGGGAGTCTGCTTCTCCCTCTCTCTGTTCCCCGTTCCCCCTGCTTGTGCTTGCTCTCTCCCCCTCTCTCTGTCAAATAAGTAAAATCTTTAAAAAAATAAAAATAAAATGAGGGTAGAAAAGCACCACTAATCGAGAGGGAATTGACAACTAACAGATAAGGTAAAAGAGTTAAAAATATAAAATACGTCGGAACCATTCAGGCAAACTAAAGTGGAAATAAATGAGGAAGAACAAACAGAGGTCACTTAACCTGCAAAACAAAAAAAAAGAAAAAACTGCTTAAAAAAATATCCCCCAGGCCTGCCCAAGCAATCCAAAACACTGACTTCCAATTTCAAGCGTCTTCTATATTATCATTTCCAGCTTTACTGAGATATAATTGACATAGCTTATAGATTATGAACTCTTGGGATGCCTGGGTGGCTCAGTGGTTGGGTGCGTGCCTTCGGCTCAGGTCATGATCCCGGAATCTGGGATCAAGTCCCACATTGGGCTCCCCTGTGAGGAGCCTGCTTCTCCCTCTGCCTGGGTCTCTGTCCCCCTCTCTGTATCTCATGAAACAATAAATAACTCTTTAAAAAAAAAAAAAAAAGATTGTGAACTCTTATGCAATAGCGTCACCTGCTTTCCCATGGTTTGCCTCTGTTGTTGGTAATTATCAGAATATTATAATACTAATTGCCAATTAGCATTAGTTACTAACAGTAATACTGTTCCCAGTTCATTAATGCTCTAGCGCCTGTCTTCTGCTACAGAAATGACTGCAACCAATTTGTCCACTATGTGCTCTCAAACCATCCTTGTCATCACAAGGAAGCACTTTTGCCAAATCTAGAGCAATAGGCCTTGGTTTAAACAGAGAAACCTACTTGAATAATTTATGGTAAATCCTAAACCTCAAAAAGTGTTTAGAATAATTAAGCAACAACCTTTGAAGCTAGGTAATGAACTGCAGCTGAATCATTCTGTTGTGTGAGTTTAAGAGCGGGCAAATCATGTTTGCTTCTGGTTCACAAAGACGAGTGCAGGAAATTTCCTTGTGGCAATTTTTCCTTTCAAATTCACGACCTGGCATCTAAAGTGAAATAAAACACGAGCAGGGAATTAAATGTTTCAAATGGTTACTGCTGCAGTTGGATCAAAACTACAGTAATAGACCCAGACAATGTAAAACCCCATAGTATGTTGGGGAAATAGGGAAAGAATTTACATTCTTCTGTGCAATGACCTTTATTCTCTTATGTGATTTAGCACAGAGCACAAGGTCTCCCGGATTACTTCCTGATGAACATGTTTAGAGAAATAAGGTTAATGTTTTTGTTTCCTAGGACTGCCACAAGAAAGTACCACAAACTAGGCAGATTGAAACAGAAATTTATTCTCCTACAGTTTAAGGAGGCATGAAGTCCAAAACCACGGTCTCAAATGGGCCATGCTCCCTCTGAAGGCTCCAGGGAAAAATCTCTCCTCGCCTCTTTCCTAGCTTCTGGAGGTGGTTGGCAGTCCTTGGTGTTCCTGGGCATGCACCCGCATCACTCTGATCTGCCTCTGTTGTCACATGGCTTTCTCCGTGTCTCTCTGTGTTCTATTCTTGTAAGGTCACTGCCATATTGGATTAGAAGCCAAATAACCTCATCATAACTCAGTTATATCTATAAAGGTCCTATTTCCAAGTAAGGTCACATTCACGGGTATTGAGGGTTAAGAGGGCAACATCTTTTGAGGGCACACAACTCAACCCAAACAGTGTATGTATCTAAAGTTGGGATCTTTCCAACTAATGAGAATGGTTTACTCCAAGGCTCAAGGGCTCAGCAAACCCTGAGTTTCAAGGGGAAGCATGATCTTTTTACAGCTCAAATCTGGCCATTTTATATTTCTGCTCAAAGTTCTTCAGAGGCGAAAATCTCAACTCCTCTGCATGACATGATCAGGTGCAAGTCT